AAGGGTTGCCGGGCTCTCCATATCATCACTCAGAGTCCATGTAGCAGCAATTGTGGCCTTTAACGGCCCGGTAGAGGGCAGGTCAGTCTTTTCTCACCCCATGGTCACAAGATTTCTCAAAGGCCTGACTAACCTTAATCCACCTCGCAGGCCCCCACCACCCACATGGAGCCTAGACCTCGTGTTGGACACCCTGACGCGTCCTCCCTTTGAACCCTTGGCGACGGTACCCTGGCCTATACTGGCAATGAAAGTACTCTTCCTCTTGGCCGTAACATCAGCGTGTAGGGTCAGCGAGCTGGCAGCACTAATGGCATCGCCCCCCTATACAGTATTTAGTAAGGAATCTGTAACATTGAGATCTCATCTGGCTTTCCCACCTAAGGTCTGCACAGAATTTCATATTAACGAGCCAATCGTTTTGCCATGCTTCTATCCAAAGCCTCTCATCTCTCAGCGGGACGCGCTCTTGCATACCCTGGACGTCCGTCGGGCATTGGCATTCTATATAGATAGAACCCGCAACATCCGGAAAACAGATCACCTTATTATTTCGGCGTCAGGCCGCTTTAAGGGCCAACCCCTCTCGGCCCAGCGTATTTCGAAACTTGTCGTCTCCTGCATTACCACCTGTTACACCATTCACGACAAGCCGCTCCCATCGCAGCTGAGGGCCCACTCAACGCGAGCAGTGGCAACGTCAGCAGCGTTCGTTGGGGAGTCCCTTTACGTGACATCTGCCGGGCAGCCACTTGGTCTTCCAATACCATATTTTCAAGGCACTATGCAATCACACAGCACCTAGCTTCCGATTCAGCGGTGGCTCTAGCAGTACTCCCTAGCCACCAAAATCTTAATTCCTCTTTTTAACAACAACCTGTTCTTGTGGAGTAACTAAGATTCTGCCAGGAACTTTTATTATGAAAAAGAAGTTACTCACTTCCGTGCAGTAACGATGGTTCTTCGAGGTGTGTCCCCATGGGTGCTCCACGTCTGGTGTCGGGCTGGTCCCGACGCCACGAATCGGAGCTTGCCAGAGCTGTATTCGGCCGGACCGCGCATGCTCGAGCCGGTTTCGCGCCTTTCATGTGCCGCGCGCGGTCCGGCGCCCGCCAGTTTCCTCTCACCGCCCCTCTGCAAGACAGAAACAGAGGAGATTCCGTAGCGGGGAGGAGGGCGGGTCGTGGAGCACCCACGGGGACACACCTCGAAGAACCATCGTTACTGCACGGAAGTGAGTAACTTCTTTTTCATAATAAAAGTTCCTGGCAGAATCTTAGTTACTCCACAAGAACAGGTTGTTGTTAAAAAGATAGTATTTTGTTGGTATGAGCATGCTTCACTCCTTCATGAGGTGAAGGAGTTACTCGGCTATTACGATGGGACCTATATCGAATAGAATAGCTTCTCTGTTGCTTGACTGAGAGCTTCTGGTTTGTGCCCATCACATTTGTGACAGTTATCCTAACTTGCTGTGTTATTGTGAAATGAATATACAGCAAAACCAGGATTTTTAAGTTAAAGGTTAACTCTCCTTACCAACGCTATCGTAAATTTATACTGTGGATTTAAAAAAAGCAGACACAGTAACTCAGTGGTTCTGTATCAGCCTTTGCTTAGGAACTTAGTACAGGCAGTCCCCGACTTACGCGGATCCGACTTATGTCGGATCCGCAGTTACGAACGGGGCTGCCCCAGAGTACACGGACTGCGGGACCTCGCGGTCCTGCCGCCCGTGTACTCTGGGGCTTTCTCTGCGTCTCCCTGGTCTGCAGACCAGGAAGACACAGAGCAAAGCCGCGGAGGGGCTCGGGCAGCGAGGCAGCCCAGGTGCGCCTGGACTGCTCCGCCGCCGGCTTCCCCGCGGCTTTGCAAAGCTGCGGGGGGGCTCGGACAGCGAGGCAGCCCAGGCGCACCTGGGCTGCTCCGCTGCTGGCTTCCCCGAGGCTTTGCTCCACGGCTTCCTGGTCTGCAGACCAGGGAGACACGGAGAAAGCCCCGGAGTACATGGGCGGCAGGACCGCGAGGTCCCGCAGTCTGTGTCCTCCGG